GCTTTGTTTGAATGCATTTATGGTATAATACAAAAAACTTGAAAGGAAAAATATATAAGTCTACTGATTTTTTTTATGACAGAAGCAAAGACGATGCATGCTATACCGATTCCGAATATCGCCTTTTTATCGAGTTTTGATCACGTTTTGGGGGTGAAATCTTGAAAATACCACAAGAGTCGGAAAAAGTGAGCGTTATAGAGAAAAGTCAAGATTTGACTGTTTTCCGTTCCACTCTAGTTTTTCGAAAGTATTTTATTCGAACGTCCGCCAGACTTGCAAGTCTCTCTCTTTATTTGCTGCTGGATTATGCAAAAAATAACCACTGCTCTTGTATTTTGGCTCCAATAGTAGGTGAAATAACCTACACTAAAAAATAAAGTGTGGTAGTACGTGTGTAAATCTTTGAAAGGTTCACTCAGCATCGAAAAGTGTGTACGTTCTCTAGATAGTTAATCTTAGTATTTAATACTTAAGTGTGTTAAAAAGATTTCTTATTTTCCATTTTTGTCGCGAACGACATTATTAAACGGAAAAGTGATTCAGAATCATGATCACCATCTTCGAAAGTACACTGCTATTTTCAGCCAAGATGGGTAAGAAAAAACCGAAAAAAATAACGTCAGTGTGTGGGCTAGACGATCGCTTCTCAGTATGTATTTCACATACTTATACCATGCCTTCTAGTTGGTCACTGGGAATCGACCTAGCGTTCACTTTATATGCGTCATTTAGACATTTTCGGTTCGGGAAAGCTAGGCGGAAATGTTACGCACACGCTTGCACACAACTTCCTCAGTATCGCCATTGATCCATTTTAGAAAGTATAACGACACTTTTATATTCTTTCACTTAAGAATCTATATTTTATATATGTTATCACGCATGTATAAACATGTCTGCGTTTTTATTTCTGACTTGTGTCTGATTTTCAACTGTTTTTTCTGATTTGTCTTTTAGATCTGGGATCCCTGATACATTGTATACAACGAACACTGGCAACAAAAAGTATATTAAGTACTTATTTATTCTGTTGATCACACTTATTTACTACAGAAGTCGGAAAGTCTGTAATGGATGACAAATTTTGGATTTGCACTTAACTTCCCCAAACCACACGTTCGCCTGCATCACTGCTTCAGTTGAAAGTGACTCCGTCGTCACACTTATTTACTACAGAAGTCGGAAAGTCTGCAATGGATGACAAATTTTCAGGGTATATTGACCATGTCAAAGTGTAGTAACCAAATTTCTTTTGGCGCTACTTGCAACTGGTCATGAGAAGGCGTAGCTACAAGGGCCAAAAGTAGGTATCTATGATGCACAAGCATTCTCATTCCAGTTAATAATAGAGAGTTCGGTATTTTTTGTTTTGCGTTAAACGCCTATGCTAGGAATTAACAGAGCCCGATTTTCGAATTTCTCATCTACTGATTTCTGGTGCTTAATAGAACTTTAAAATTCGAAAAATCCTTGGTAGGTTTCTGAGAAATCTTCATTTCTGTAAAGAGAATGATGTTATTATATTATATTATATTCTATTTTCTAATATACGTAGGCGTATGAATACACAACAGAGAATTCTGTATTAGATAAGAAAAAAGAGTGTCATTTTGAGTTCATTACACCTGTATCAGTTTGTTTGATCTTTGATATTATTAGTCATCATAGAAAAACGTACGCGATAAAGTACGAGAAAAACATGACAAATAAAAAATTTCCATGTTGATAACACTAATACAGAAAAGGGGGAAAGACCAGTTGTAGCATACTCTATATATGTGGCAAAAATGTAAAAGAAGGATACAGATACACGAAATTCATTTCAAATATAACCTCTGTTATTATTTAAAGAACGTTTGTAAAAGACTTATCATTTTAAATCTTTCATTTTTAAATCTCTTAAACCATTGAAACTGTCTGATAACACCATTCTGGAATAAAGACAATTTGGTGTACAGCCGAGCGTGAAAGTATATTAAATTTGCCACTAGTCAGAAGAGCGGTGGAGCGGATTTTGAAAACCAATTGGGTGCGCGCAACTGAATTGCGGAGATGACACTATAGGCTTCGGAAACTTTTGACATTGTTTAACTAATCTTAATAGTTAGTCACGAGGTTTTTCTTGGGATAAATCGTAAACTCTGACTTTGTTCCAACGGAAGTTTTTCTCCTCTGCAATGTTACCAAAGTACTATTTGCCACTAAATCAAACGTTCTTTATGACGATTACTATTCCTTCTAGGTAGTGCTGTTAAATTTATCAAGATGGCTTGGATACCGGTGGCTGTTGGGGCTGTTGGCGCACTATCACATTTCTTCGGTGGTAGTAAGTAACATACTGCAGTTATTAGTATATATAACGCGTAATTTCAATTACATTTATAGAAAGTCGAACTACAGTTCAATATGTTACAAATCCAGCTTTAGAAGACGCACTAAAAACTGCTAATAATGCCAATGCACACTTACAAAAACAATTTGCTGACATACAACAAGTCCTAAAAGAACAACAATTAGATTCATTTGAAAAATTAAAAGCGTATGATCACAGAGCTGCAAATGCTTTAGTTGAATTAGCAAGCCAAACACGAGCAATGGTACTGGAAGGCAGAACTGTTGCTCTGTTTGGTGTAACATCAAGTGGAAAATCAACAATTATTAATAAATTGTTAAATTCAAAAGTGGCTGCAGTTGGTGTTGGTGACACAACAAAAGCAATTCAACCATTTAATGGGAATGGTTATTGTCTGTATGACATACCGGGAAGAAATGATGATCTCTCATATTTTACTTCGGAGTATATTAGTTTTTGGAAAGGTTTAACACATCGTCTTGTAACAATTCAATCCACATTGAGAGAAATGACAAAAGTATTTAGTTTGTTAGATGCAATGGATTTACGTTATGACATTGTTGTGAACAAATTTGATTTGATAGAAGATGCTAACGAAGCTGAAGCATTTCGTCAGCAAATTCGTAATGAAGTGCACGAATGTGGTTTAAAGGGTGTTAATAAAATATTTTTTGTTAGTGCCAAAAAAACGGATCAGTTTCCTGACTGGATTAAATTGGTTCAATATTTAAGAGCATAATAAGAGAAATAACATAAAAAAACAATTATGAACTATATATATCGGCCAAAAATTCAAAAAACATTCCCACGCTATATCTTTTTTTTATTCTTATCAGTTTTGCGGGCACAGAAACAAAGTAAAAAGCACTTCTTTCCTTTTCACTTTCCTGTATGCGATTTATTCGAAATAAACAAGGAATACAATCTAAATTGTATACTTAGGCATGCACCAATCCAATCCAACTGGGGGGTAGGACTGATATCAATCCCAACAATCTCCAGTCAAGATTGGTATCAGTCGGGCTTGTTACCAGTTAGGCTTGGTAAGGTGCTCGTAATTCAAACTTCGAGCAAAATTTGTTTTTGACTTAATCATACATATTCTGATTCATCTTGTCGAGCTGATCACGAATATCACCTTTTGACTTCTTTTCAACTGCATCTTCATGGAGAAAAATTCCGATTACGGAGAAGGTCGCA